AATAAGAAACTGTTCCACTTCCAATTCAATGAACTACCATTTTAAGAAATATGATACTATTTACACAGACTAGAGCAAATAACACAAGGTTACAGAAAGTAAATGAATTAATAGGACAAAATTGAAAGCGCTTAAGCTAGTTGCATGTTTCCATATGTAGAGTGATTGGAACAGATCACTAACATAGTAAAATACTTGTGTTCCATGAAGCTGGGGAGGCTTCCTTGAAGAGCAACAGCAACCACCCATCTTGCAGATGTTTTAGTTATCCAAGTATATGTCTTATTTCCCAACACATTACCTTCTCCGTCTGTATGAAGAGGGACAATTCACTGCAGAAATGCAAAAGAAGAGATGGACATTTAGTATTTTACAGGCACAAAAAGAAATGAATGGTAACAGCCAGTAAGGCAACATATAAATTCAAGAAGAAGACCAGGATCAAGAATACCACATAAAAGAGCTTCTTGAAACAAGAACATAAAGCTACTTTGATCCAACATAGTACACATCAACTATAACAGTTTAGAATTAAATTAACCCTCAAAGCAAGCTAAGTACTTAGTTTATAGTTTGAAGAAGTGCATTTGCTCTTCTATACTTTTCTCTCCATAACATACAGAAGAGTCCATATTCTGTGATTACTTTGTCTTGAACGTGTAACAAAGATTGCACAAGGACCGACTTAGAGAAGAAAATGATGTAATATGTACACTCAAGCTTATATAATTACCCAAAGGTGTATCCTAATTGTCAATGGGGTGGGTGCATACCTTGGAGACTAGGGTTCAAACCGAGCAGAGAAAAAAACACTTGGTGATTCTTTTCCAATTTGCTAGGGCTTGGTGGAAGGAGCTAACCGTACATATACTATTGGGAGTTAGCAGGTAACTATCTTCAAAAAGCAATGGAAATTGCAATAACAATAAACAAAGCAGTAAGCTTTAACACTCCAATGAATATTCTAACCATAACAAACAAATACTGAGCTAAAAAGAGAAGTTCCCCAGAAGTTTAAAAAAACCTATAAATCATACCCTAAAAAACTATTGAGGTTAACATGAACCAACAAGTACTAGCAGTCAAACTCTTGATAACACAATTCCGGTACCAAAATTCATCGATGATATCGAAGAAACTAAGCTTTCGAGAAAACATTAACTAAGTAAAGTGAAATATTAGCAAAACAGAGAAAACAGAAGCACTACACTAGAAACCTGATAAATATACCCAAACCCAGTAACAGTGCAGAATTTCTAACTGCACCCACTTTCAGTCTCAGAAGCATACACATACAAGGACAATGGCACACCAAAAAAACACGAGACGTAATAATACAAACACAAGCAAAACAGAATTATTAGACCAAAAAACTGATTAATAGACTAGACCTAAACAACTATGTCTCAATCAGTCAATCTTGAACTAGTTGGGTTCAACAAATTCTATATAAATTGGCTAGAACCACCTTCAGTTTCAAAAGAACACATTAAAATAGCAGTGGCACACCAGAAAGAACTAGAGCGAACTCCTTTGCTAAAAGACAACAGAAATTAATTGAACAAACTCAGCAAAAAACAGAATCTTTACAGAACCTGACCAATAGACCAGACAAAATAGAATTCAGAAGGTTGAAAATTACACACTTTCCGTTTCAACTTTCAAGAAGACTTACATACAGAGGTAGTGGCACACTAGAAACAAGACAAAAGGAGGAAAAACAGAAGCTTTACCAATAACCACACTAAAAATATTTTGCTTGGAATGGTAACTATAAGTGAAAAGGAGAATCTTTTACAAAATACACCTAATAAATAAACCACAACCAATCAAAGTAAAACAACAATCCAATATAATCTCACAAAGTAAAATTTGAAAAAGATAAATAAAAAAATTATTTTCGATACCCTGTCAACTCAACAAAAAACAGTTCAAAGCAACCCAATAGCTGTATAAAAAAAATTAACCACACCCATCTTCAGTATATCATAAAAAATCAACTATATACACCAAGAAGTGGCACACCAGAAATACTTACAGAAAAAAAAAAACCTTCCTTGCTAAAGATTCTTTTTTTATTGTGTTTTTGGGTAAGAATAAGCTTGAAACGGTAACTAGCCACTACTGGGATGAACAAGAAGGAAAAGGGGTTAAGGCTGCTGCTTGACTTGAGAGAAAGACAAGGAAAAAAACTGAAAAAAAGGTATTACTACCATTTTTGTCATGTTTTTAATAAAGAAGGGAGTTCAATTGACAATAGGACAAAGTTTAGGGGTCGGAATAGACAAAAAAAAGATGTGCAAAAATTGGCTTCGCCCGGACTCGAACCGGAGACCTTCAGTGTGTTAGACTGACGTGATAACCAACTACACCACGAAACCTATTTGATGCAAGTTTTCACAACTAAATATTTAGTTTAATAACTTATATTGTAGATAATATATTATACAAAAATAATAATATAATGGTTAAAATATGATTAAGAACTTTCAAATATCTATTTAAAATTACATGTGAACATATACAATATAAACAATTTATATAATTATTTGGAAATTTTATTGGCTTTGTTTGTATATCCGGCCAATTCGTAGTTAGATCAAGGACCACTACGATCGTTAGAATCTCAATCTTGATCTCAATTGAAAACTTTCTTTTGAACCAAACGTGTATTAGATAGAACCTATTTAACCCACAAACGAATATGTTATTTTTATTGTTATGGTCGTATGTTTAAGCATAATTTATCAAAATGATGTTTGGTAAGTATAAAACAAACAACCCAATGAGCAAATTGAAGTGTGGAAAAAAAATGTATATATAGTAGCCATACTCCAACATAAACTGAAAAAGGAAAAAAGGACATGTTACAACATAAAATATTGACTTAGCTAAAATCTCGATTGTTTAGACATGATTTCATGAGACTTAGACCCCATAGTCATTGTCCGTGTAGATATTGAAATTTTGTGAAACTCTACAGGATATTTCAAATCGGGTTGGATGAATAAAATTATATTTTTTTGAATTTTATTCATGCGATTTAAATTTATTTTCCATAAATTTAAAATTTTATTACAAACAAGATATAAGGGTCGAGAGCGTATTCACCTAACCCCCTCAAGACCAAAAGTTGCTACATCACTTGTGGAGTGTCACAACACAAACTATAATATAAAATGGTAATAGAAGTGAAAAAATATGGTAGGTGAAACTATTTTAAAGTTGCATGCATATATATATATATATATATAATGGTTGAAGTGGAGACAACAAGTGATGACATTGCTGTCAACATTGTACCAACTTGCTTAAAAAAGATAACCACGATGACCATTGGCGGCTGATAATTCTATAGCCATATAATAAATATCAATGGATAATAATAATTGAGTTTTATTCATTACCTTTAGATAAAGGCACATTCCTCTTGGCTGCTGCCGTCCATTTATATCTTATTAAATCAGTGGATTAAATTAGCCCTATTTTAAAATTATTCGCATAATTTATTTAGATATTTTAATTAATATTAATATTAATTGAACACGTTTATCTATATTATAGTTATTTTTATTAAACTTTTTTTTATAATCAACAAAAAATATGAAGAGTGTGTAATACACTTGCGATGACGTGATAAAATAATTAATTAAAAAATAATATTAGCATTGAGTATGAAAATTATTAAAAAAACAACATATATTTAATATCTAATTTTTAAAAAAATAATAAAAATGTCAACCTATTCTACTCCATCCTACCCCACCCCACCCCAACCCCCTTTTATCTTCATCATCTTCCCAAAAACAAAGTCTTTCTCAAATTATTAAATCTTATTCTTTTCAAATAACTTAAAGATTTTTTCTTTCATATTAAGAGTGAAGAAGAAAGAAAATTTTATCGACAGTTATTCAACTCCACATCGATGACAAAATGAAATTAATAGCTTCAAAATTATTTCTTTCAATTTTTTTATATCGTTTTTGATAAATTTAATAATCACATATGAATTTATATAAAAATCTTTATTCGAAAATTGTGATAAATAAATATCGGCTAACTATTTTTATACGTAAAAATCATTTATCTTTTCTCATCTTCTTCATACCTGTTCTTTGATTTTATGAGATTTGAAATAAATCATACGAAAACTTTCTTTCAAATTTGAATCTTTATCGTTGATTTTCATTTATCTTCATATTTGAAAGATATAAATTTTTTGTATATAAAAAAGAAAGAAAAAACAGTTTTTGAGGAAGAAAGTTTTGTAAACTAAATTATGAAAAAGATGATAGATAGGGAGTGGGGTGCTTTCATTTTTGAAAAAAGTGTAAATAAAAAAAAATATTTTTAAAGTTAATTATAATGTAAAAGAAAATTAAAAAAGACACTACTTTAAGTATTTTCACGCGCTTTAAGAAAGTGCAATACATAATTTTTTGTCATATCAGAATTTTTTGTCTAATAAGTAGTTTTAAATAATTTAAGTGTTCAATAAGTACAAGTCTCAGTTAAAATGTAAGTGAATTATGCGGAGAATATTGAGGGACTAAAAGCCTAAGTAAATACTTATATAATACTATGATAATTCATAAACAGTATACCAAATATATTCTCAGTATTTTGATTAGTTAATTATTTCACATTAAACATAATTAAATTCAAAGATAAAACTTTATTCTAAAATCAATCACATTTTATTTGAAATCACGATAATTTTTCTTCTATTCTAAGAGAAAATACATTACTCTTTAAATTTGTAATCTAACAACAAATAATTATGTGATTATCTGAGTAATTCGTTGAATAGTAGAAAAGGGATTGCTTAATCTTGATCCATGATTATCAAATACCGAATTGTTTCGATTCCGACGATTTACTTCAATCAGCACTTACTATTCCTATCGACCATTGTTGCGACCAGTAATTCACTTTTAGTTGGTAATGATTCATGTAAATTCCATACTTGTATTGCCAATGCCCTTAAGATTTCGGCGAAAATGGGCGATCTTGATGAAGGGAAATGTATACATGGAAATGTTATTAAGTTGGGTATGACTGATGTTCTTTCTTTGGGAAATCAGCTCTTGAGAGTTTATGTAAAATGTATGAAGTTTGTTGATGCGTGCAAGGTGTTCGATGAAATGTGTGTAAGAAATATTGTTACTTGGAATACGTTGATATGTGGTTTAAGGTACTCTGCTGAGACAAATGGTTATCTGGGGTTCTGTTATTTCAAGAAAATGTTGATGGAATCGGTGTCTCCTGATTGCATTACTTTCTGTGGGTTGCTCCGACTTTGTGTGGAGTTAAAGGGTGGTGTTTGGTTGGTCAAGGAGTTGCATTCTGCTATCGTGAAGTTGGGATATGATCAAAGTTGTTTTCTTGGTGGGACTCTTGTTGATGTGTATGGGAAGTTTGGGTTGATTGGAGAGGCTAGGTGTGTTCTTGATGGGGTTTTGGCGCGTGATTTAGTGTTATGGAATGTTATGATTTCTTGCTATGTAGTGAATGGTCTGGGTGAAGAGGCTTTTTGGTTATTCAGTTTGATGAGATCGGAGGGGTTTGAGGGGGATGAGTTTACATTTGCTAGTCTACTTAATTCATGTGCTAGTTTGGGGTTCTATGACTCAGGTAGGCAGATCCAAGGTCTTGTTATTAAAGCTTGCTTTAACAAGGATGTGGTGGTTGAAAGTGCACTTGTTGATATGTATGCAAAGAATGAACATATAACCGATGCTCGCAAGGCTTTTGATGCAATGGCCTTCAGAAATGTAGTCTCTTGGACCACTATTATTGTAGGTTATGGACGTCGTGGAGATGGGAAGGAAGCTATGGAACTTCTAAAAAGGATGGTAAGAGAGGATTTTGTTCCTGATGAGCTCACTTTGGCTAGTGTTCTTAGTTCATGTGGTAACTTATCAATGGCCACTGAAACTGTACAAGTTCATGCTTATGCAGTTAAATATGTATTCTCAAATTCTATATCAATTGGAAATGCATTGATAAATGCATACTCAAAGTGTGGCAGTATAGCTCATGCTTACCAGTCCTTCAGCTCAATAAAAGCACCAGATCTTTTTTCATGGACCTCAATGATTGGAGCTTATGCATCCCATGGCTTTTCAAAGGAAGCTATTCAACTTTTTGAGGAAATGTTGGAAAATAGTGTGATGCCAGATAGTATTGTATTTCTAGAGGTTCTCTCTGCCTGTAGCCATGGTGGTCTCTTTAGTAAAGGGCTGCAGTACTTCAGTTTGATGACGAATAACTACCAAATTGTGCCAAGCTCAGAACACTATACCTGTCTCATAGATCTTTTTGGACGATTGGGCCTTCTAGATGAGGCTTATGAAGTTCTAAACTCAATGCCAGTTGAATCCCAACCAGATGCCCTGAAGGCTTTCGTTGGCGCTTGTAGAATCCATGGCGATGTGAAATTGGCAAAATGGGCCGCAGAAAAGCTATTCGTGATAGATCCAACTGATACCGCTACTTACGTCCAGATGTCAAACTTGTGCGCCTCTGATAGTAATTGGCCTGATGCAGCCTTGATCTGGGAAATGGCTAGAGAGCGGTTGCATAACAAATCACCAGGCTGTAGCATGGAAATTATTACTCATGGAATCAACACATTAAGCAACTAAAACATTGCTGCAGTTGCAAACACTTGGGCTGCTTTTAGCATGAAAATGGAGAACAGTGAATTGATGTAGTTAGGAAACAGAATGAGATTGAATATGTAGCAAGAGCAAGGCAAGGGTTACCAGACTGATTGATGACAGGTAAACCTATGCGCAACAATGGTGTAAATCATGTTATAGCCTCCTTCTAAACACAAGAAAATGTTGTCATGCTATGCACTAGTATGATCTGAAGCCAAACCCTAAGCTTCAGGAAGCCAAAAGAACCTTTTGATGGATGGTGGCTCCGCGACATTCTTTTCAGGAAACACAAGTACATGATATCTACAGTAAACATTTCTTTTTTGCAAGACTGAAGGGAGATTGTCTATACCGTTGGCTTCTTGTCTGTAGAGATTTATTTCTGAAAGAAACTCAGATTTTACCTGTAGCTTCACAAGGATCTATATAATGAGAAGATTCAACTTCCATTCAGAGAATGTACATTCCTCTCTCTTCCTTCCGATACTAAACAATCATGGTTCACCGATTTCACATAACATCTGCTACAAGTGTAATACGTACAAACAATTGAACAGTGGGCTACGTAACAGTATATATGGGACTTTATAAATAGGACTTCCTCATTGGAACAATTCCATTACAGAATGAACTTGTGTGGTTTGCCTTGCACCTCCGCTACCAGTATTGACTCAGCGGAGAAAGAATTAAAACAAAGTTACTATACCTAGCACCAATCTTCTTTCCCTTTTCATCTTCCCTATTGTAAGCTATAACTTTCCTGACTACACAAAATGGACCTTTTCTGCTTTTGGTTCCTATAAAAAGGACACCAATGGTGTATCCCTTAGCAAGTAAAACTTTAAAGAAAAAGAAAACTATTTGACAATGACTAACAAACATTTTTTTTTATTGTTAAAAACGATTGACAAACATTTGCTTGTAATCACTTGCCTAATGAAGAGAAGTGCCTTCTTGGTGCAGTTCATCGTACGTTCTCGGCATCAAGCAGCTCTAGCCTCTATATGTTATGTGCTTGAGCTGAAGTAGATTCTATTACGAACTATCTACCACCTCTTTCGCTACTACCATTGAAAGAATTTTGCCGAGCCAACTCATAGTTCTCTGATCGAGGTTGTTCGTTATCACAGTTAACTGCTGTTGCTTTTGAACAGAGAAAAAGAAATGAAGAAGTATATATCGTAACATGCCATGCACTGCAGAAACGAGATATGAAAGATGTCAGAGAAAGAGTAGGAAAGAGAGAGAGAATCAAAAAAACGTAGGAGAAATGCTTGATAGCTCTTCAGACCTGTGCCATATCCAGTAATTTTGACTTGTTTCAAGTTTCCAGCTAATAGCAGCTATTGCTAATGCAGTGAATCCCGCAAGTAGAAAGCGCCACCGAAAGCGCTTCAGAAGAGACCGAATGAAATTATGAACCCATGCTTTTACAGTTTCCCATCTGCATTCAAAATCATACTTAGCTGAATTTTGTTAGATATTAAAACAAATATATAAAATTTATATATTTGTTCTAAAAATTTACATGTCTAAATTTTTAGAACAAAAATTCCACCTACCTGTTGAGCATGTTCAAACAAATTTCTGTTGAAAAGGAAATCCATCTATGATGACTAAAGAATTCAATGAGGAACCCAATGAACAGAGCCAAAGTACCAATAGCGACGACAAGAATAATGTTTGAGGACCTGTAAATGTTGACCGAGTTAAAGCTGATTCAAACGGTTCACTGACAAGAAAACCAAATGCAAACTTCTAGTGGAAAAAGAGGAACTTTACTTGGTTGGTCCATTTTCAGCCATGAGGGCTGTCAGGATTGCAACAACAGTGTGAATCGCCCTCTTTGTAACTTCGTCAATAGTAGACAAGTAAACAAAAGTACTAACAACAGCCATGAAAGAGAGCCAGAAATCCATGAACTGGGGCCAATCAACAAAAAGGAAACCATATAATTACTTAGCCACCAAACGAAAAAATGCAATATAGCAAAATGCATAGGAGTGATACCTGTAAGACATGATAGGATAATGGACACCAAGTGCCAAGATCACATGCATGATACAGGCCACTTGAGATACCACTTGATGTGTAAAGAACCCATTCAGCAAATGCCTGCAGAAGAAAGGAGGCATAGAAAAATGAAGAATCCAAGGTATAGCTCTACCTCAAGTTCATCCGCTTGTCCACTGAAAAAAAATTATTATACTCACACTCTGAAAAAGTTTGTCTACTGAAATTAACCCTAGATATCTGATTTTAACAGCCTCTTCACTTGAATATCAATCAGAAGATGTTATGGGATTAGCTAATCACCTTATGACGGAGGGCCCAGTAAGCAGGGAGCAAAGCTGCAGCATTGGATCCAATAAGGGAAATCGATTGCCACATTTGTCCTACATGAGTTTTCAGCACTTGTCCTTTAAAAGATCCATTGCCTAATTAATTGGCTACTAATGAGAACTAACTGAGTTAAAATGTTAGCAAAACATAAGCAAACAAATAATAATCAAGAGTGTACTAGCAATAGCAAATAGCATGTTAAAAGACATGTTGGCAACATAATGTTTCAATTTGTTATTTTTTATTTTTGTTGGTGAAACACATGCAGCAATTGAAATGGTTTAAACAAAATCATGATCAGAGCAAGCTATCACCACTCAGAACACACAAATGTTGCTCCTCATATTATCATACATTGAATAAATTGAAAGGTTTACTCGATATGGTACTGATTGCGCAAACAGTAACCAGTTACTCTAATCTGCAACGTCTAGTTCCAGATTCAATTTTAAGTGCTAAGTGAAGACTTTCAAAAATACAAACAAACAAACAAAGAAACCACAGAGGATGTAGCAACAGTTCTCTTAAAATGGCTAAAGACACTGACATAATTCCGAATGGCACAAAGATACAATGTTTTACCTGAAGAAGAAACCAGTTCAACACTGCAATCAAAGCCTCCAGTGCGTCGATCACAATCACAGAAACTGAAAAAGACAGATTTATTGCATGAGAACATGAGAAGTGGAGAACCCAATAGCTTAATCTTCAGAAATCGTCATATATGAACCTGTAGAATGTGAGACCACTTGAATCCAACACAGACTTGCATGCCCCGTGCGAAGAGCATTTCGCTGGGCATCTCTCTAGTGAGATAGACATGGTAGTTTCAACTGTCGAACTATGCCTGTTTGAAATTGGGTGCCTTAACCCAAAACTCCATGTTCCTCCTCTAGCATATATGATATAAAAGCTAACAGATTTATCACTTGCATCATATAACTTAAAAAACATGGAACCATTGCTATTGCTTGTGCTGTTTGCATAGAAGTAATCCCAATTACTAAGAGAGGGAAATCCACCATATCTGGCATATATTTCCCCACTTATCTTTGCTTCTGATGCAACGCGGACATGAATATTTCCACCACCAGCACCATCGGGAATGTCCAGAAGGAAAAAGGTCCAAGTGTAATCACCATCAGAGGAATTACTCAAAAGAGGTCCCAAAGGAAAATTAGCAGAGCCTGAGGAAACTTCTCCACTGATAGGTAGATAATAGGATTCAAAAGCGACAAATGGAGTTCTTTTCAGAAACGTCTGCACAGAACAATTACGAGGTAGTTAATGGAAAGTCCTGCTACTATTTCAAGACTCCCCCCACCTACCCCCACACCCACTCAAAAAAAAAAGACATAAAATGAATTGACAAACTAATCAGGTCAGCTTTGATGCGTGCTATTTGTACTGGAAGAGAAAATGTATATCTATACATCTAGTGTATCATTTTCTTTTATTAAGCAGGAAATTGAGTTATCCAAATTCACAATAACCATACATAATGTTCAATATTAATGTGCAAGTAAACAAGTATACAAAATTAATGAGAAGTTTTGAGAAAGATTGAAGCAGACAAATTCAATATTAATGTGCAAGTAAACAAGTATACAAAATTAATGAGAAGTTTTGAGAAAGATTGAAGCAGACAAACTCATTAAAAGTCCACCTGAAGTGTGTATTTTGCTGTTGTACAGTTCAATCCAGCCTTATCCACAGGACACCCAAGTACTTGCCATTCCAATGAATAGCATATTGTAGAGTTCATTTCTTGGATTGCCGACGTGCTTTCTGACAGGTTTGCTGGCAGTATTTTAATATACCAACGACCAAGTCTAGGTAAAGGTATGACCAGTGGCGATCTGTTTATATCAGCAGAATAATCATACAGTTGTGACTGCGGTAAAGTCCCATGCCGAACATAACACATCAGGGGATGTCCACTGCTATTGATGGCCCCATTAGAACGCTGTAATTGAGTGGACGTGATATTTAATGCTGTGATTATTATCTCCTCGGCAATACTCACTACATCCAATGAGTAGACTTTTGACCCAGCGACGTCAAGACAGCTGTTCTCGGTACCTCCACAGGTAGTCATATTGGCTGCAGTTTTATAAGATTTAAGGATATACTCAAGTAAATAAAAGTATGCTCTCTCTACCAGCTTAAGCTTTTAGAGTGACATGATCTCAGAGCAAGCAGAGGTCCTGATATCGAATGTCACTACCACCCATTATCAAAGAGAATTTTCACATGCTTTAGCCCGTGAAAAAAGACACAGGACCCTGAATATAATCAAGTAAATTAAAGTGTACTGTCTCTAACAAATATGTTAGATGAGATGGTCACACACTCTAACAAATTTGCATACCTATTTCACTTTGAGGAGATAAATAGGTATCCGAACATGAGAGTAAACTAATTGTTTGGTTGCAGAATTTCCCCAGCATAGCTGAATTTGTACAGCCTTCCACAGTTATATTACCACTGAATGAGTATGAATGTCCTCGATTAATCTGCAAAGAGAAACCAGTCAATAGAAATTAGCTAGTTAAGATATTAAACTGTTGAAATGATGGTATTACGACTTTAAAAGAAAGATATTTGTTTCACAGTGGTAAGCTTCACTCCAAGGGTTG